TTTTTTTTTTCAAACGCGGATTTACCTTTAAGGACATTTTTTCAAATACATACATACTTACATATATTCCTATAATCAAAGGAAATGACTAGTACCTCTATTACAGCATAGTTATATATTTACACAAAATAATAATAAATAAATAATAAATGCAATTCGCATTTCAGCTGTGTGGCCGAAAATTCACTTGGACGTTCACGCAAATACATGGAGCTGTCTGGACGACCCGGTCCAGCTGAATTTTACTCACCGAAATGGGGTCGCTCATCGGACAGCTACAATCTGACATGGAAAATTGATAGTTACCCACCGTTGGAGGAGGTGCGTCTGCTCTATAGGCGTGTGTTGGTGAGTAGATAAAAATAAAAAAAAAAAAAATTAACAAACAAACTGAAGTGGAGCAATCTAGTCTAAATAAATAGGAACAGCGAATGTGTGTGAAATATAAAATATAAAAACATGAAAATATCAAAAAGCAAACAAACGCGAAATGGAAAATTTAAAAAAATGCACAACTAAAACACTGCAGCAGCTACAACGAAACTGTTGCAGTTTATGTGACTATCTATCAAACTAGCAACAAAAAAATAGATATATATAAATAAAAAATATATGAAAAATATACATACATAGATAAAACAAGTGCAAATAAACACCAAAGAGCACATACTACGTTCGAAATTGGTCTCGGATAGTTCCAGTTATTGCAGCTGCAATTCACAAAAACCCAAAAGCATCGCCGCTGACCTATTTTTTTTTCTATATTTTATTCATTAAAAAAAAAACGAAAAATCATGCAAATAGAATGAAGTACACTAAAAAAATTGGCAAATCGAAAAATATCAATGGGCTAACTAAGTGTTCGGTTTTGCGAAACACCAGATATAAGAGATACCCCAGCATTTCCATGTGTTTTTTTTGTTAATTTTTCATTTTTTCATTTCTTCTTTTTCACCGAAATTCAACTCTCAGCCACAGCACAATTATTTGTGAATTTCATTTTTTATTATAGAGCTTAGTTTTACTTGAATCTATAAAGCTTAGCGATTAAAAAATTCACTTGGGTATAAGCTGGTTTGGAGTACTCACATATATTCTCGTATATATTCATTTTCAATGTTTATTTTCTTGATAAATTTTGAGTGCAATTTATAAATGGAAATGTAGAGTAAATTAAAAAAAGAAGAAATCAATATTTTCCACACTTCGTTACTATTTGTATATCAACATGTTTGCAAATTTGAAACCACTCAGCAAGATAAACTGAAAAATGTTTTAAAAAAACTAAAAAATATTTACATTTCACGGAATTTTATTTCGTACTTACATGAGAAAATCTTACGAGTTGTTAAATTTTTCCATCGCGAAATTATATTTAAATGAAAACCTAAAAAGATATACTAAAAAGTATAACAATTTTGAAATGAATTTCGAGTGTGCCTTTAAAAATTTGTAAATTGAATTTTAGTCTATCAAATCATAGCCATGTACACTAGTTTTATTGCACTAAATTCGTTCGTTTTACAAGAACAACACTTTCACCGTTCAATTTTGGACATTTTGAAGGCCTAAAGGACCTTGAATAACTCTGTGAGAGGGGAGACCAGTATGTTTGCATGTATGTATAAAAAAAATATTTATTTGATCAAAAAAGGTGGGTAGGCACTGTGACCTATGGTAAAGTTTGTTTACGACCTCTGCGCAAAATGCTCCGGAAGCAGTTTCCGGAGGATGCGTCAGACTAGGCCGAGCATACTTTGAAGTTCCATCTAATTAAAACTTAAGAAAGTTCATTTACATGGCAGTTGAGAAGGAAATTTTTGCACAAGCAGCAGCACATAGCATGTATTTAGGTGCCTTGTGTAAGCAGTTGCAATAAACAAATATAATTTTTCGATTTAAAAAAATCGTAAAATTTCAAAAATCACAAAATAGCTGTGACAGCTATTCTGCATGCTGTCATTTTTTTGATTTGGTTGCACACTCTTGAAACTTCACAGATAGGTTGTATTTGATATTAACGTCTATTGCCTCTGCGTCTGCGTCGGCCGCTGTGGTGTAGTGGTCAGCAGTGCGCGCTTCCACTCCACAATGTCTGGGTTCAAACCCTGGTCAAAGCAACATCGCAAAAATATAGAAAAAAGGTTTTTTCTTAACAGCGGTCGTCCCTCGGCAGGCAATGGCAAACCTATGAGTGTATTTCTGCCATGAAAAACAGCTTCTCATAAAAATACAATCGCCGTTCGGAGTCGGCGTAAAACTGTAGGTCCCTCCGCTTTGTGTGACAATATCAAGGCGCACGCCACAAGTTGAAGGAGAAGCTCGGCCAAACACTAACATATGTGTAAGCGCCAATCTATTATTATTTGAAAGCTTCCCAAAGTTATTAAAAAAAAAAACACACTATTGAACCCGCATGGCGTTAAAACACCAAAATTAAGTTTAACTTTCTAAACAGGTTCAAACACTATTCAAAATCCCAAAAAATGTCCCCAAGATTCATATAAAGACATTTATTTAAAGTAGTATTTAAAGTAGTTTTCATATGAGTATTTTAAAATAAAAACTTGTGAAGAAAACAAACTCCCGATTGCGTCTGCATGACACCTCCGTGACTTTACAACTCACTTTAAGTTGCTTTTGTCATAGATACATAAGTGTGGTATTTATCGAAATCCCGCCACAAAGCCATAGGTTGGTTATTTGGCCACTCAAATGACGCAAAAATAACTAAGTTTCGTAGATCCCAAATTTCAGTGCTCTACAAGTACTTTATCCACAGCATTTCAAAATTTCTAGTGGATACATGGGTACCGGTTATGCGTTCTAGGGTTAATCGGCGTTTAACATTAAGGAGGTATTAAATTCATTCATGTATTCTACTTTTACATGGGAGCAAGCGATTAAAAAAAAACGCTGCAAAACGAACGTGTCCAATATATATACTTATTACTTAAATGGGAAGAAATAACTCCTGCAAAAATTTTCTGCCATCCCTAAATTGGAGCGCTAAGCGTTGCGTTTTCCAAAGCCAACGGGTGCCAGCCCGCTATACCCAAATAAACTCGCCGTAATATTTGACGTTTTCCCATTTTCTCTTGATTCCTCTTTCACTCTCAACGCCATTTGCTCAGAGCGGTGAGCGCCTCATACAAATTGTATGGGCATTAGGATTTTTGACAGTTCTGTGGCGCTTGTCGAGCCAGTTAAGGTATGGCAGTTTTCCGTATGGTGACGCGGCGGTCGCTTTTTTATTTTTTATTAACGACTAATATAATCGGGTATTTAAAAACTTTTTTTTTATTACTTGTTATGGATTTCACTTTGTCCATGTCATTACAAAGCTTATACTACTCATTTTACTATCTTATTCAATAACCGGCATCTACGCAAAAGTGCCATAGATCTTCCATAGAATAGTTTTCTCGAAAACCACCAAAGCCTTCTCTTCTTCTTTGTTCGTAATCGTTCATATTTCTGCGTTATATGTATAAACGTATAGGCGTAATTTTTTTTTTGTCGAAAATAGGCTCCGCTCAGCAAGAGTTATTCCTCGCTTTATCTACGAGATGAAATTATTGGTGGTATTCTTCATCACTTCAAAATTATGACATGTGTCCCAATATGGGCAGACTCTTTTTGTGTTGCCAGGGGGTATCTACTTTTACTTGTTTTCTATATCAAATTTCTCCTGACACGAGTTATATGCTGTACTATCAGATTTCGTTAATTGAATTTTTAATATGCCTTTCTCGGTTAAAAGTATCTTAAGTATCATTAACTGTATATTTATTGGCGATTTATGCTAACGATACCACTTGCTGCTTTCACGTTTGCCTAAAAGTCTCATTGCGATTAATATTATCTACTGTTAATTGCAAAAATCATCAATGACTACTCATTAACAAAGCCTTAAATCGGTATTAAAAATTCCCTCACATAATTTAATTTACATAAACTAATGAAGTTAAAGTAATCAAGTGGCTGATTTTTAATTAATAAACGTCAAAAGGAAAAGTGTTTGCAGATAATTATCAATCTCTTTCTATATATGTATGTATGTGTATGGACCAATCAAGTAAATATGTATCGTGTATACTCAATGCTTCACCAATCAATGAGCGTGCGAGTGTTTTCTAAAGAAAAAAATATGAAATCTTTTAAGATGATTAATATTGTTAAGTGTTTGCTTTAAAGAAACAAGCTCATTATATAAATTGGAAACCGACTAGATATGTGGTACTTGATGGAACTGGAGTGCAATTAAAGCAATTTCACAGAGACGATACTTGCATACGCTTTTTTTTTTAAACAAATGCAAACTTGTGGCAAAAATTACTGCTGTTAGCATTCTATAGAAAAGCATACTTATCATTCCTCAGTAGGCGTTTATACATATGTACATATATACATACCTGCTTGTCTCAAATTACACTTTTGGCGCGCTGTCGCAGTTTGTGAACAGAAAATCTCATTAAATCTTGTTGCTGTATACTTATTTCTGTTAATTTTGATACTGGCACAAAAATCATTAAATATCTCCTGCATATGTTTTTAACAAATCTTAATTTTTATTTTATTTTTTTCCAAATAAAAGCAATTTTCATTATATAAGAGCATGCAGGTGTTTTGCACTCCTACACTTACACACATATGAGTAGTGTGCGTTGTACGCATGTGATAGTCGTCAATCTCGTAAAATCTCATTTTGCGTTGCAATACTGACACATCGCTTGTAGACAAGTACTGCTTCCCACATAAGTATGGATATGTATGAATGTGTGTTTCTTTCTGCGTGCATTTAAGTTTTCAGGCACTCTTTTAATAAAATTTTAATCATATACTTCATTAATGCTCGACATTTGCATTCATCACAGCTTGTAGGTATATATTTATATACATACATATCTACTTCTACAGTGAAAGGCGCCTGCGGCATTTATGCGACAGCGCATAAAATCAAAGGAAATTTAAAAAATATATAACCCACTACTGCAATGATGATGGCTATGATTTTTATTGCCATTAATACAGCAAAAATTTGTTAAGGTCATATGACCTCATTACAACTAAAAATTAAATCAAGTGATTTTCACTTACGTTATTTAAATTTGTTTATGTAGGCAGAAGTACTTATTTGCCTCAAGTAGTTTTTAAAATTTTGGTTAAAGGCCAGATGAATTTTAGAAGCTAATTGAGAAAACGCGCCTTAGTTTAAATAATTTCATATAATTTTTTTTCAACCATAAAAAATATGTACATATTGACGTCTAAAAGCGAAAAGTGCAAAACTATAATGCCATCTGTAAAAAATATACAATTTTATGCGTAAACATTTTTCAAACACAAGCGTTTCTTTTTACTATTTACACTTGACAGTCAAAGATCTAAGTATGGCTGGCATCCATTTCATGTCGTTAAACGGAAATAAATGTTTTACTTTACATAGGTGAAATATGTATAATAATCAAAATAGTTTACCTCCCACATAGCACTTATTTTTCCCATTTTCTTTGCAGATGAATGACACATTCCAACAGCCTGGCAGGTGGCACGATTTCATACTAACACCCGAACATCGCCCCGCTTCGGAGCCACTAACACACATTATGTCGTACACTATAAAAAATCTACATCCTGGCGCTTATTATGAGGCGATAGTGCAGGCGAAAAATCGCTATGGCTGGAATGAGGTGAGTAATGGTAGGCGCGGCGAGATCCAGTTGGTTTAACGAAGTAGTGAATGGGCAAAAAAAATATTTAGCAAATATTGGTATACGGCGCTATCACTGAATTCCTCATAGTCCGATTTTCGTGAAATTTGCGAAAATGGGATCACTGAATCTGAATTGTTATAAACGAACTCATTCAAAACATACGCAACGTACATGTGACATTCGTAGCTATTCAAACTTAGAGATAGGATTTTCGTAGACTTTATGAAAAATTCTACCACGGTGGATTCAATGAAGCCCTGACAGATTTTCCCTGTTAAAAACATTTTCGTATGTATAATTTCTTCGTCCAATAATTTTCTGTAACAAGTGGTAGGTACTTTTCGTCTCGTGTTTTTAGTAGAAAAATTTCATAGAATTAAATTCAATTTAACTTTCCTGTACTCGGCAGTCTACATTTGTAGCATTCCCAGATAACACACAACTCTATGTTTGGAGAACGACTGATTTTATAAAGGTTTTATAAGGCTCTTTTCATAGACTGTGCTCTTATAAGGGTTTATAAGGCTCTAAAAAAAGAGAATTTATTCAAAAAAGCATTTATAAGGCTCTGCATGCAGACATATTTTTATATGCCTCTTTTTCTGTAGCCTTTTCTCTTCAATTTCATGATTAGTAAAAATCCTCTACTAATACAAACTTTTAGATCTCTATAGACTGTTCAGAGCGATTAATAATTTTTTTTGTTAAGTAATTAGTCAGCAATAAGCATACCCATACACCTCTATTATAGAGGCTCTATAAATTTTCATATTTAGAGCAATTTCGCATTCTCTTTTTGAAGTACGATTTGTCTTCATAAAGATCGTCAACGCTCTTCAGTCATATTATTTCGGATTTCGCTAAATAAAAATATACTTTGTTTTTGAAGTTATAAAGCTCTATAAATTTTTCTGTGTTGATATCTACTTACTGGCGGTTTATTCAATCGCATAAAAAGATGGAGCCCTGAGAAAACGGTGTTGCAAATTGGTTAAAAAAAAAGAATACGAAGTTGTGTGAAAAAGAAAATTCCACAGTGGCGATAATTTCTCTTTTGCACACTTTGAATTTCTCGAGGGGAATTCGGGTTTATGATTTTTGTTTTCTAGCCTAGATATATCGTTTTTGGATTTTCAACCAAAATGTTATTCGATTTCTGGAACCATTGTTTTTGGGAACTTCCCAATCTTCTGGTAAAGCTTCAGTGCCAAGACGTCCATTTTTGCAAAATTAGCCAATTTTAAAAGATTTTCTTCGACTTATTTATATAAAAATTTCAGCAAGCGTGAACGAACGTTTGATTGAAATGTAGAAAAGGATCTCAAAACGAACAAAAAGTCTTTACTTCCAACGAAATGTCATTTTGTAGATTAAAATTTTGATCTAAGAGAAACGTATTCAAACGTCTATTGAATGCTCTCCACATAAACTTTTTTAAGACTTGAATATTTTATGTTTTGATCGTTTTGTATGACTTTTCTATAATCTCAGAGAAAATGCTCGATTCATGGCTCTTCACGTAGACACTTTTGAAATTTTTTGGAAATTTAGGATTCGAGTGTTTTGTATACATTTGATCAATTCATAAAAGAATTAGTATGTTCAAGCGCTTCGAGTAAACTATTTAGGATTTTAATAGACAATTTGACTTTATAAGTGTCTTTGAATAGATATCTTGCTGTAGCGCCATATTTTCTGTGTATTTTTAGGTAATGAAAAAAAGTTTTAAAGGTAAAAAAATTAAAATTTTAATTTTCTTAACTTTTTCTGAATTTTTATGATGGAAAATGATTAATTTTTCTATTAATTATATTGAAAGACAAATCGGCCTATAAATGTGTTAGATAAAGGAATTTAATTTTTTTCTTTTCGCGGTAGACTTTCCACTGGAAACGCCCTTATTTATTATTTATTAAATTGTTTCCTTGTTAAAATTTTATGTTTTTGTCATAAAAGTGAAAATATTTTGGGAAAATCGCTGGATCGAGAAAAACGGTATAGAGATCCATAATCTACGACAAAATATAAAGTTTTTCGTGTTTTGAAATTTTTGTGTGCCATTTCGAAACTTAAGAGTTTCCGTACAGTACGGTACAAAGGAGCGTTTTACCGGAGTATCTGCATTTATAAATATGGCATGTCTAATCCCAAGTAATAGTTGCATTTCTATGCAATTTACAATATCCATACGATTATAAATCTGGTAAAATTCGTCATCCGTTCTAATTAAAAACTACCCCTCGCCAATACAAAGAGCCTTTCGTTGTATAGTTCTCTCATAAGCGCCCTAAGCCTTCTCACCTTTGTTTGGTATCATGTATGTTTCTAACCAACAAGCAATAGCCTACCGAGCTCACTGTGGAACCTGTTAGCACAAGCTGTTGTTCGCTTAATCTTCAGAAAACTCGATGAAACGTTGGAAAATATATTTATTTTCTGGAAAATGCTTTCTTAAATATATATACTGCTTTCCTTAGTTGTATTGGAGATAAGGTGCTTTAAAGTTTATGAGTATCGAGCCGATTCAATTTCAGCCAACCAAAATCGTTCGTAAAATTATAACCTGGTTCCATGACATTTTTCTACCAAATATGATTTGTAAAAATTATCATATAACTAATTATAATCCATAAAAATTTCTCATAGTATTAATAAGGAATCTCAATAAATTTTGTTTCATTTTTTCGTAAGTCTCTTAATTTCTTGTACACCCGCTATGACTTTAATCTTTACCCCAGCAGCCAAAGCGTTTCCCTTCAATTGCCTCATCCCAAAGCTGTGCTCATCGCATAAATTTTATTTACGCACATCGTAAGCTTCACTGCAGCACTTTATCTCAATCTTTCACCCACCGCACGCACGTACCGCAGACCTTTAGAGCGAACTACAACCACAAATCTCAGATGCCATTTCACATACCACTGTCATTGCTTTTCTTATTCTTTCTTCCACTTCCTTCTCGATGGGCTCTGCTCAATCTCTGCGCGCACTCGTTTCCTTATAACAGCCACAATTAATTATTGCATTCTTGCTCACACTTCTGTGTGTTTTATTCGACTTACTCTTGCCATTTCTGATTGCAGGTCAGCGATATCTTTCAATTTATCGTCGCCAGCAATACCATGGACATACCGCCAGAGGACGCCGAAGTGGTGGCCAGTTCCAAGTCGCGCAGCAATTCTGCCGCCATCGGTAGCACGCATTTCGCACCACACGCGCACAGCCGTACCATTGCATGGAGTGCGCTCTTCACCATCGCCGCAAGTTGCTTACTCCAGCGTCGACTTCGGCAGCGCGAAAGTTCCCTGAATGTGGGATAAACGCCGTAAGTGGGCGAACTCAAAGTGGGCGGCAAATTAATTTAACGTAAGATATGTAATTCGATGCTTTTGTTGATTATTTATTTTCAATTCGAGTGATAAGCAAAGGATGCAGTAGAGCAGCAGCAGAAACGGAAGAACATTTAAAAGTTAAAAGTTAAATGTTTAAAATATCTATTTGTAAGGCAAACAAGTAGGTGTATTTATAATGGATAAGCAAAAAAAAACCATTAAATGTATCGAATATCTGTATAAGCAGGGGGAAAACGAGTAAATGGATTAAATAAACTTTGCGGTTATGTTATGTGTTTTTAGACAAAATGGTGTTCACTTAACTTGCGTCATATTTTTTCAAAAGGCATATATACGAAGGTACACCATTAAATATATGTAGCTTAAAGAAAACCGGAGGGACGCGTTGAAAAACAACGCGCAAAAGTTTACGGAAGTTAAGTTAAAAAGCTTTTGATGTATAAATGTGGGTACGTACTAGAGGGCTGCATGAATGCATTCAAAACGGCTTTTGAATTATTCATATACAAAACGAATGAATGATTTTGGCTTCACATTTTTTTGAATTTGAGTGAATAGCTGTTCTGATATTTGTGTCAACATCACAACATTCAAACAAAGTGAAAAAATAAATGACAATTTTTTATATGAATATCCAAAAATATTTTTTCTATGCACATATGTACAAACATACATATGTATGTATGTATGTATTGCTGCGCTCTTATTACATACGAAAAAACTTGTTTGTAAAAAAAAACTTTTACCGAAATGAGTTTGAATGATTTGAATGTTTTCCATTCATTCATTCACATTCTTCCATTTGAAGGTAGAAAATATAAAACAAAGTGTATATTCATAACTAACAAAATTCCAAACGCTGAGTGTTTTGTATGTGAAGTAAAATATTTTAATCTACTGTACTCTGTTCGGCTAGAAGTTTGAATGAATTCATGCAGCCCTCTAGTACGTACTTACAGGTAAAAAAGTTTTTTTTTTTGAAATTCTTGAAATGGAAAAGAGTTACTGTATGTACATACATACAGTGGTGGAAAAATAAATAGGGGACGTGACATTTTTACACTTTTTGCCTATTTTGTTTTGTATATTTAATACTTAAATTTTTTTAATAAAATATAGCTCATTGACTAATAAAAATCTAATAAACTTTGCACTTTTTAGATAGATTTTTCAGATTTTTATTTGCTTTAAAACTCGTTAGATTCTAGTATATTAAAGTGGAAATTTGAAGTTGCAAAGAATCCCGCTGATTTTTGGTTGAAAGTGGAAAATTTAGATGCCAATTTGCAGAATTTTTGCATAAAGTTTGAAATATGGATTTATATTGGTTTCGTTAGTTAACAAGCTGTGCTTTTACAGTGAAATAAGTAATAGATTTTAAATACACAAAAAAAAAAACAAAGCAAAATTTGTAAAAATTTCCGGCCCTTACTTATTTTTCCACCACTGCATATTCTAAAAAAGTATGCATTCTATTATTTTTATTTATGTATGTATGTAAGTATGTCAACTTAGTGGATACGCCTAGCAACTTAACGAAATCTATGTGCGCATTTCATACCCAAAAAATTTCCATCCCAGTGGAATTAGAATCACGTAAATGCCGCCGTTTTCCAACATTCACTATTGCTAATTTTAATATCAAAATAACAGCAAACGCGCCTAACAACATGCAACATATATGTAGTTGCATGGCCCTCAAACTGCCACATTTGACAGATTTGTTACTTTACCATATTGCATACTTTTAGGCTCCACTGATTTTCATTTTGACGTGACTAAAATTTTTGCGTATTGTTGTTAGAATTCTACTGCTGGTCAAGTAACTTACAAAACTGAATTTAACATTCTTCTACAACCCTGAAACACTAAATAAAAAATATAAAAAATATGTAATGTATTCATGTATGCTAGCGATGTTGCGGTGTTGTTCAGATCTAATGCGTTCTATTGGAGGCGCTGCTTTGGCATGACATCATAGTAACTATAATGCTTTAAGAAAGCCGAAACGGCACAAATGCAAACATGCAATAGGCAGATCTATGGGTATCGTCTTTGAAAATACTACACTAATATTTATACATATATAGATATGTATTTTGGGGCGTGTAATTTATTTTTTTTTACTTTGCGCGTATAGCATGGGAGTATTCTACGCGTAATTCTAAGCAAATTTTCCGAAGCAACCACGGGACCAAAAACAATTTAGAGTTTGCCAAATTGCAAAAATAGGTTTCGAAGAAAATGTGAATATTTTCACTGCTGTGTCCCCTGGTGGAAGTTTTAAGAAAAAAGTAAGTGCAGAAATGGATTCTTCGTACCAAAAAGATTTTATAGCATGTTTTTATATAAAATCTAAGTACTTCTGTACTAAACTATAGAAAAATGCTAAGAAATCTATTTTCGCAATTTGGTAAACTTCAAGATGATTTTCGACCTATTGTTTCTTCGGAAAATTTGCTTAGAATTGCACGAAGAATTCTTCCATGCAATACGCGCATAGTCCGAAAAAACTGCCATACATATTGACCCGCCCTAACTTATATGTAGGGAAAATGTATATGCAATTATATTTATGAAGTTTTAGTGTAGTGACCTTATAAAAAAAACAATAATATTTTGGCACTCGACATACAATTTTACGATGCCTTCGAAAGGCAAATGGTTTTATAAGAAGCTTTTCCATGCCATAAATGCACTCGTTGGGTTGCCATTGCCTGCCGTGGGGCGACCACAGTAAGAAAGGACATTTTCTAGTGAAGATGTTGCTCGGTCTTACGGAGCGGTAAAATGCACCGCTAACTACTTAGCCACTTAGATCCCATATTTAGTGGCCTAGGCTCATTAAATTACCAAAGCTTTGAAATAGTCAAAGGTTAAAAAGGGGCATAGAGTTGTATAGAAGCGAATTCCTTTTCCCCACTACCAGATAAGCCAACTATGCGATGTTACATCTACGTAGGTAGCTCCGTTTGATAGGTGGCCTTCATTGCATGACAAAACCTGAAGGAGCCGTCTCATGAATCACCTCACCTCATGAAAAACCTCAATATACTCGACTTTCTCAGACATACTGGCGACTGCCTCGATACCCATCAATTTCGACTGATGTATGTAGATACACACCCATTCATTTTCGATAAACTCATATTAAGACATGATGGCCATTCTAGCGGGGTAAAATGTCTCAACATTAAATACTCTTTGTTAACAACGTATTTAATTCACACGCGATGAGAATGTACGTAATTTTACTATCAAAAGTTATCCCCTATTTAGTCTTTAACTTCATGTTTTCGAAGTAAAGTGGTTTCGCCAGGGAATAATTGAAAACTTCGGTTAGAGAGCTTCGTGTATAAGATACCACATAGCATTTACCAGCATTAAGACTTACATTATTTAAGTTACACCATTCGTTTAACGCATCTAAGTCACCTTGAAGGTATCTATTGAGACTCTGACGGTCTGTTATAAGGTTAAAGCGTTTTACAACATCAGCAAAAGCTAGACACCATGACCAGTTGAGCCGTGAAGGCAAGCCATTTATGAAGACCAAGAATGGCAGAAGACCAACATGAACGCCGAAGTTGCTTTTATAATAGTGTTTGATTTTATGGAACCGATTTTTGCTATCAACTTCCAGTTAGGCAGTTTTTAAAGAATCTATGTAGTGAGTCAGTGCTACCGAATTTGCCAAGTTTCTATGTTTTTATGTTGTTCCATTTCCGAAATGATGCTTCTAGTCATAATCGCTAAATTAGTAGCTGTTGATTTTCCTGGCAGGAATCCATGTTGGCAATCACAGATAAAAGACCTTATGTGATCAAATAACACGGTGCGACAGTAAGTTTTACACACAAAAAAGGGAATAGCTTCGCGAAACCATAGTAAATTATAGTAAAACTGCATACTTTGTTATTCTCTTTGACGTCGGGATTTTTTTTAAAGGACTTTGAAATTAAAAAAAAATGGTTGTATTAAAAATTTATTTAAAAAATTCAGTGCAATGTAGGATAACAATAAGGGTATCATATGAAAGAAAAATTTTTATAGAAAAATTCTTAAATTATATTTTTTTTTTAAATATTGTTTGAAGACGCACGATCTTTTTTTGAAGCAAATATACGCACGATCTCATCATCGTATTTCGTCGTGCAACCTTTATTAACTTCAAAAGATTAATTTTATTAAAAGCGTATTTTCAATACCTATTCGTCCTTCTTAACTAAAAAACTTTATTGTTTTTGAAGTCGACAGAATTTTACATTGCACTGATTTTTTTTTAATAATTTTTTGAATTAATCATATCTTTAAAATTCCAAAGTCCTTTGAAACAAAAAAATCCTGACGTCAGAGTGAAAAACTAAAAACGCAGTTTTACTATATTTGGATTTTTCGCGTGTTTTGACATTTTTTTTTGTTTTTGTCGCACGGTGTAATTTTTTATTTATAATAGGTATGTATGTGTGATCAAAAATCCTTGTGACTACGTCTTGTTCGCTTCGTATGAAATGTATTCCAGGGAAACTGTTACATTCTTAATTAGAACTCGGCTTGAGGATAGATATGACAGATTCTACATCTGCCTCTGTTATAGGGAATGTATCTAAAGCATCCACAGAATATGAATCTGTTATGCTATAAATTCAGAGGCAGGACTATAATTTTCGTAAACTTTTCGAAAGAATGAGGCAAACAGATCTCACGCGTCACGTTTGGAGTTTGCGGTAATGCCATCGAGCTTCATTTTGATTGGTTTTCTTTTGAATTTATAAAACGCCAAACTGCAGATAGATTGGATTTTAACAGGCTCTCGCTTTCAAAGATAAATTTTGTTTGCCGCTACCGTAAGTTTCGCGCCTGTCGATTTGAAAGGCTTTGTTTTTATGTACATACATGCAATTTAATAATTTAACAGTTGGCTTTCACAAAATCTAATTTCGAATAAAATATTTGAAGGCACGTATTTTCAAATATACTTAGCTCATGTTTGCACTTGTATTAGGAAACATTAGCATGCATACATACATACATACATGACAATTTGAGCCTACAATACCAAGTTGGAGTGTGTAATTACTTAGTATTATAACTATTACACCGTCGACAAAAACAAAAAAAATTAACAACATACGAAAGAATCGACACGCTCACGAAACTATTGTTCCAAATATAGAAAAACTGGTTTTTTTTTTATTTTTCACTCTTACGTCTGGATTTTTTCAACGGAATTTGAAATTTTAAAGATATTACTAATTCAAAAAATTATTTTAAAAAATCGTTGCAGTGCAGAATAGCAATATGGGTACCAAATGAGAGAGAAAATTATTTAGTATTTAAAAACAATAAACTTTTTTGATTTACAAGGACAAATAGGTATTGTTGAATCATTAAAAAAATAAAATATTGCAAATCTTCAAGGGCATTTAAGCACAAAATTTGTAAAGGACATTTTCAAATGCATGCTTATGCACCAAAAAAAAAATCCGTTATAATTCTATAGATTTTTTTCTTTTATACGATACCCTTATTGTTATCCTATATTGCACCGAATTTTTTAAATATTTTTTTCGTATTTTTTGAAATTTCAAAAC